GGTATGGCCTAAGTTTATTGTACATTGTTTTTACACCACCATGCCCATCATTTCTTTATATCTCTATTTTACTTTGAAATTCTATCTGAGTTACAAAATGTGTTGTTACACCACACAACAAAATGGCATGCCTCAGCCCTGGGGTATTCTGTGTCAGGTGGCCAATATTGTCCTGTATTAAACTAATCCTAGCTCATAAATAATGAACCAGGTATAGCTGCCATTGCAATTAGATGAATCTGAGGTCCTGAACTTGGTGCTATGGACCATGTAGGGCAGATGGTGCTCGCAGGAAACGACGCTGAAATAAAAAAAAACACATTGGAATATCTTGAAAGTTCATCTGTGTTGGTAGAAATCATTATGAAGCAAGTTTAAACTGTAATTTCCAACACAACAAATTGGACTTACCCAAATTTTCGACTGTACAACTCCAGTCTTTGTCAAGGAATGACACTGTAATATGGGGAACTTTTAAACTTTAAAATCCATTCCTGACAAGGCTATTAATACTGGGATAATACAAAAATTTGACATGTTTATGAAAATCTGTGTTACATAGTCTAATTTTTAAGAGGTTATAGATAAATGCAATACTGTTTCTACCATCTTGGGCCAAAACAGGCTGGCCTGAAAATTTTTTCCTGTTACCTGCAACTTGGAAATTTGTCAAATGCTTTCCTGTAATGTTACCTTTCTACAAAAGTTTATACCCAAACCATATTGTTCCTTACAATCTTTTCTTGTGATTCACACCAAACCTAAATTGTTTTACCCTACCAAAGTACAAAATTTGTGGAGGAGTCAACATGACTTGTTTTGTCTCCCCCTCTATTTTGTAAATGGAGAAGTCAAATAAGGCCACACCAATTTAATTTTATGGTTAACGGATTTTTCTAGAAAAATAAAGTAGCGGGCGGGCGAAAAAAATAAAAAAATAAAAACAGGCCTAGGCATCCCATTAATAGTATTATGGCCCAAAATGGTACAATAGGAGCCATGCAGTCAAAATACCAGGCTGGATTAAGATTTAAACAATGAATTTTTAACTTTTAATGATACCACTGCATTGAAAGATGGAATAACAAATAAATCAAAAAGAAAAAAAGAGTACAGATCACAGGTGATATTTCGATTATGTTTTTGAGTAGAAGAGGCGTCACATAAGCGACTGTGCTTCTTGCCTAATACTTTGCATGTTTCAAAAGATATGTGAATAGATAAAAAAAATATTTTGAGCCCTGTGTAGAATTGATTGTAAAAGGTTGACCACCTTCAAGTTGTTTTATGTAAGACGACACACCTCAGTGGATTACAGCCAAATGAGGGCAGTTCTCCGATAGCCTATTGTGCAGCCTGTTTTATGACGCTATAAAAGGCACCATGTGACCGCGCTGAACGAACTTGAAAGCTGCTGCTGCTTTTATGGGGAAACTGCCGACCTGGGGTGCTTTAGTGGGCTTGTCAGCTTCCTGTGTGCCTGACCTGACTCAGGTCTTTGGGGGTTTGGTGGATTCTAACTAGTGCCGTGTACCTGTTCGCTGGATCGAATGTTACGATTCAATTAAAAAAAACTTGAACGTCTGGAACCATTTCTGGACTTCATGTGACATTCCCCTTTTTGTTCTAAATCACCTAAAATCTTCTGAATCAATAGATGATACAATCTGCCATTTCTGAATACCTCTTGGTAGAAAAATTCAGAAAACAAAAATGGTTGAAGTTCGATAGGACATACCAATGACTATTAGTGAGTATGTGATACCAGCCCAGAAAAGAACAAGAAACAGTCATGCCTTCAAGTACCAGAGTTATCAACCAAGGATTGAGGTGTTCAAAAAGTTAACTCATTCTTTCCTTAGAACTATTCACATAGTGGAACTTGCTGTCACCAAGTACAAGTACAGTAGGGGCATTATCATTAGATGGCTTTAAACAATGTTTAGAGTTAGATGTTCAAGGGTTATTAGTTGTAACAAGCCGTTCGGTGTAATGTAGCCAGCTGCCGCCACACCGTGTGCCTTTGAAGCTGGTGTGTTATGCAGAAGGGCAGTTATACCGGCTATACCAAGACAGATACAGATACCTTGATGCAGAAGTGTAACTTTAGCCAGTAGTAACACAGTGTTACCATTAGAATGGTGGCAGCTTCCACTTCAGTCAAGATGACATTACCAATAGCGTCCAAAATGTGGACATCCGACATCGTAATTGGTAATTCGAGGCCAGTTTATGAGCAGTGATCTGGCTGTGATAGTTGTTTGGATCAATGTTGGGGGGCAGATGCGCCCGAGGTGCAATAAAGAACTCGATTCACGCCTGTTTTATAGTTGTGGGCTGTTCTAGATGAAAGGACTGTTCCAACTTGTGCACTTCTGATTCTGTATCTTTTATAATAGCTCAGGTACAATCACCCATCAATGTAACATACTAGCTTCGTAGGCATGCAGTGTGACAGCAGCTGGTAAAATTATACACCCTGTCACATCTAGCCTTTACATACCTAAGTCTGCAATAGTAGGATGATACATTTTCACGTACTGTGAATACTTTTTAGCAACGAGTTGCTACAATACGAGCAATCGCCATGACGTCATGGTAAGCAAAAAGCGGGTAACAGTTGATTTCCCTACCAATAATCGCCTTCATATAATTGTCTTGTGCATTTCTTATACTTAATAATATGTAAAGTCCACACAATTCAGGAGTACTATGTACCCCTGCTATGTTGACTATTTTTAATAAAATTGAAAAAATTGAAATTGAAATATAATTTGTGTAAATATATAATGTAAACAATAACAGCAGTCGCTCGTATGATTCTATGAAAAAAAGTTTTTGAATACATAAATCCTGGGTTGATAACTCTGGTTCTTAAAAGCATGTCTCTATCATTGTATTTCTTGTTCTTTTTTTAGGTACTAGGTACTAAATAGTTGGTACATCCAACAGTTTATTAATAGTCATTTTGCACATCATGCAATGAATCTAGCTTTTTTGCTGCCAAAGTATCCATTTGTCCATGAAATCAGGAAATGAGAATAATGCCCAGTTAGAGATTTTGGTCTTCTTCTAATGAATGGAGATAATAAAATCAATAATGGTTAATTTCATAGATAAATCAACATAGCATCTCAGTTATTGATCAAACCTTGCACTGATGTATTTCTATGTGGAAGGAATTTAAAATAAATTCATTGTCATGATTTTATTGAGAGCATTTTGATACATATATAGTAAATTTTGCTTGTTTGCTGAATAGGCATAAGTTAGAAAGATCTGCCATAGTATAACCATATAGTATGACTATTCCTATATGCTGTTTCTATTTTGTATGTAAAACATATTTGTACTTATTGACCTTTGCCCTTTATTGAACGACCTGTGACCTTATCCTGTCATGTGCCCTTTGACCCCATTAGTTTCTTAACACAGTTGATTGACACCCAGTGATTTGTCAAACAGCTGACCCTACGGCTGATAGAAATTCTCCTTGCCTTATTGTTTGATGTGATCCTCGAGAAAAAGTAATTATGATGGTTGACTACATAAAACGATAACCGACTCATGAAATGCAGAGCAGAAAATTGGTATCAATGTCTAGCATTTACTGGTAGGTATAGCAGGGCTCAAAATAATATTTTGCAAGTGCAGGTAAATTTGGAACTATGTATAGGTTTTTGTAGGTCTATCTGCACCTAACCTGCACTGCATGAGCAGAAAATTGATACCAGTTTCTAGCATTTACTGGTAGGTATAGCAGGGATTGAAATAACACTTTGTACATTTTGTTAAGTGCAGGTAAATTTGGAACTGTGTTTTTTGTGATCTATCTACACCAAGCCTGCACTGGTCCAAAAGAGCATCCAGTTTAAAATAGCAAAATGCACACATAATATTAAACATTGAAAGGGATAGAAAATAAATGGTACTGGTAATATTTGCCCATGTTCGACACCCCAAATGTTCTGACAACAGACATTATTAAGGACTGTGGGCATTTGAACATACAATTGTACAATGTATAAGGTCCCCAAACTTGTCCAGTGTGGGGTATGCAGAAAAAGAAATGTATTTTGAGCCCTGTAAACCGTGTAGATCACTACTCAAGCCAGGACTTGCTGAATGGACATTAAAACGTCCCACAGTACATCAATTGTGGTTTGACCCTTGGTCTTAGGGGGCAATATGCAATCAGGGTAATAATGTCGGCTAAATCAACCATACTTCTTCATTAGGGCAAAGTCAATGTGGAGGGGGCTGCTTCAAGTTATTATTTTGTTTCTTATACAGTGGTAGAAATACTTCTTCTTTTTTTTTTTCTAATCAGTGCAGAGTGAACCTGATCTTAACATCGTATAACGATGATCTTCAGTTCAATATGTCACATCAATTCCCCTTGCTTAATTACACATACATACCCAGCGTTTGCAATATTGTAGAATTTCACAATTTCACAATTTTGCAAAATTTTGAATTCTGCAAATACACAAACTATCATAATGGCATATACAAAATTGCTTGTTGGCAAACATTGATTTTTGCATGCAATTTGAAAAATACATGCAAAACTAATATTTTTTACGATGCCAGTAGTAAACAATGTTAAAATTGTTGACACCATTAAACTGATATTTGCAGTCTGCAAAATTGCACGTTGCTTAATTTTTCTGCAAAATGCAGACTGCAGATGGGTATTTCTAACACAGACCCAACCAACACATTGTATATTGGATATTCATTGTACGTTGTAGGAGTTTCCTTTATTTAAAAATCTATGAAAATATTTTATGATATATTGTGTATTGATATATTGTGTATCTCCCTCCAGCCTTCGGGCGATCCGACCTGCAGTTAAGCTGGTACCTCAGGCGATATGGAATACACCATGTGTATTCAATATGGACTAGAAAAACGTATTTCCCAATAGTTTTGTTGATTGATGGATTGATTGAAGAATCATTGAATTGACAAATACATACTTTCTTGTTTTCCTGCAGAAACTGTGGATATGCAATCTTTGCCGCAAGCAGCAAGAAATCAAGATGAAGTCTGGAGCTTGGATCACCGGGAGGCCAGGGTCCTTAGATCTAGAAAAGGAAGGTCCAAATTCCGCCGCAAACAAGGAAAACGAAAAAGGCACCCGTTCCGACACGGAGGGGCGGCCGCAGGAGAAGCGGGCCAGATTTCAAGATGACGCCAAGATGGGCATTTCACCCGGCCAGGATAAGGGCAAGGATCCAGACAAGGAGAAAGATGCAAGTAGCGAAAAACTAACTCCCACCAGTAAACAACGGGTTTTGCATAGGCAGATTTCCACCAGGGGAGGGGAAGAATCCGGGGAACGACGGTACAAGACCAGGGAGGACTCGGGGGTGGGATCTCTCAGTATCGATCAAAATAAATCTGGGAGCACGATTTTGGACTCCCGTCCACACACTGATATACCCCCCCAGAGGGGCTCCCAGAGAGCTGATGTGAACACGTTAGAACGACAGAATCGCGGTGATAATGCGCGGAAAAAGGACGTTCAACAACCCACACAACAGAAGCAGGTCACGGAGAACAAGATGATGAGAGAACAGGAGCCCCAAACTCGCAACGATCACGCTGTACGTGCAGACCGCGAGCCTCGCAAGCGGAGAGATGGTTCCCCAAAATCCCTTCCACCGGAGGAAAGACTACCTACCAGGCAAGCCGAGGGGAGAGAGGGAGTAATGAGAGAATTGAGAGAGGGAGGGAGAGAAACGAGAGAGGGACGAGAACGTCGTCCCGCTATTCGACAGCATTCTGCTGAGCTGCTAGAGCCGCCACGGAATTCTTCTCGAGAACGGCGACCCAGCGTGGGGGATCTTCCTTGGGAAAGGGAACGGCGTCCCAGCATGGGGGATGTGCGCATGACGGGGGAACCCCCACATTATCGTGAAGGTAGGAGCGCCTCACGTCAAAGTAGGCTGAGCCCCAACGAGGGTGGGCTTCCCCGTTCACCCTCGGCAGGTCCGTATGGTTCCAAACAGTATGTAGAAGAGCCAGATTACCGCAGAGGAAATTTATATCCGGCTAAACATAGGCAGTACGCTTCGCAACCTCATTTAGAAACGATGGATACTCAGGGTGGGCGTAGGGCACCACGGGGTCACCATGGCGCTAACCATGTTTCCATGGTAACAGGGAGGCCTGCTTCGCCAAGGTATGCAAACGGCCGGGATGTCTACGAAAGCAATAAACTTCAGGACCTTCATGGGCGTCGTGGGGGGCACCTGGAAGCACCTGGCTCGGTGTACAAACAGAAACGAGACGAGACCATGCTGAGGAACGATTCCCTCAGTTCCGACCAATCGGAGCACGTGAGCAGGCCCCCGCCTCCCAAACCGCACAAACATCGGAAGAACAAACGCGATCGGGCTCGTCAGCAGTCATTGTCCAGTTCCGAGGAGGAAATCCGGTCCACGCCGGAGTGTACAAGTTGTGACGACGTTGAACTGGAAAGTGAAAGTGTGAGCGAGAAAGGTAAGGTTCACTGTCTTAGAATCTGTACTTTTGTTTTCTTCTCATTAACAGTTTTACAATAGGAAGTTTCACGCTTTCATCTGTGTGTTGGCCAGATTCTTGCAAAATCAACTTTTTGGAATGGCTTACAACTGGGGGGAAATGGTGCAAATTGGTAAAATGGCTTTAAGTTAGTAGACTAACAAGAAAGGTGGTAATGGTAATTCCAATTTGGGTGGAATTGGCTATTTAACTCTACTTAACATTGCTGAAATAAAAGTACATCAAAGTACCTTTTTTGTCATAGTAATACTTAATATTTTTCTCATACTCATGATGTTTTCCTGATGTTGAGTGCTTCAAAAATTCCAAGCTTCAAATTCATAGTAGAAAGTAAAACAATCTGAAAATAAAAATCTGCTAAAATTCTTACTTGCAAAATTTTTGCAGTTTTTACTCAAAATCTGGGGAAAGGTAATTTTTATTGTTGAAACTTAATAGAAAATCTCAAAATTAAATAAACTTTGAATCTTGCTATAACAGGTAGATGGAAAAGGTGGAACTTTATTTTTGGTGCCACCATTTTGTAGCTGACATCACAACAAGTTTTCTTTCTTTCATTTTGTATATTAACCATTTTGTTATCATAGCTTTAGTGGAATTTAGGGCAATATTTGAAGAAAAATAGCTTACAAAGTTCTACATTATGTTTCCTTTTCAAAATAATAAAATAGAATATCTCATTTTAGGGAAACTTTCACGGATTGTTATGATTGGTTGTTGTGATGTCAGCTGACATGACTGGTTGGATGCTATGTAGTCATGTGACTTGTTTTGACCAATCATGCTTTGCTTACAGTAACATGGTGGTTAGAGCCCACCAAGGTGAGTGTTGCAGCCTCTGATTTGTCTAAAGGCTCAACTCTACTACCAGCATGTGTTGTTCTAATGCTTCACAGCGGTACAATACAGAAACAGAAAAAGAAGAGTGAGTCTAAAAATAATGCAAAGTGCACGCAAACTACTACAGGTAAAATTGTAGCATCTAGAAGAGGGCTAACCTACTTGTTTTGCCTTGTGTAGCGCTCAAATGCAGGAAAAAGCGGCAGCAACAGAAAAGGTTGGAATTGGAAAATGGTGAGCAAACCGGGTGTGCTTGCTAAATACGTAGAGTAGAACCTGCCCACCCCTGCCAGTAAAGTTCATCAGTCCAAACTTGTACCTCAAATCATTGAAAATGAACCGTTCCACTTTTTAATGGGGGTATTGGAGGAAGACTGGGCAAAGTTGTTCAGCTGTTGCCCAAACTTACTTCATTACACCAATATTTCAATTTCTGAAAACCTATCTTTTTGAAATAAGGACATTGTGGACTTTCAGGTAGGAATGGCCAGGCTATAATAGTAAAATCCATAAATTAAGAACAAATTTGAAAATTGACTCTAATCATGATGAGCTGGAAGCTTGAAAATCATAAGCTTGAAATATGTTTATGTGATAATAATCCCATTGGAATTGGTGGTTCAACATTTATATCAAATCTCACATTAACAATGATTTCTAATCTAATGATTGACATTGGTATCAACTAGCCAGGGTGTCATCCTGGTTAGTTAAATACGTCCACTCCCACAGTTGCTACTGATGAACGAAAACTAACCAAGATCTCACCCAGGCTAGGTACCAACATACACGAATAGCACTTCAAATAAAGTATCAATAAAGCAACAATCACAGAGTAAGAATAATATATACATATGTGCAGAGTAAAACTAAATCAAGAAAAAAAGTAAGGAAAATAAATTATGAAATATAAGAAACACCAGATAAAACAATGGATGTGAAGTATACCAAAATCTAAATGAAGCAAAACTAAAAACCTGAACAGCCATATATGCTATATAATATTTTAAAGACCTGCTTTTTGAATGTACTTAGTTGTCAGAGAAATACACAGTATTAAAATCAATGATTGCAAAGGTTCTAAGTTATATAAATGGACAAGGTTCATGTACAGGGAAAAATATATAAATATATAAAACAATGTCAAACTTAGCCCTAAAAAGTTTATACTCTGTGTCACCTGTAAATTATGTAACATTAATGACAACAAACAGAATCTCACATCATGATAAAACAAGCACACAACACCTGAGCATTCACAACACGCCACCAGCTTTGTTTCCAGTCATTCAACTGTTGCAGAGTCTTTGGGTATGTATCAACATGATTTGGCACAAGGACATCGCTCTATGGAGAAACAATGCCATCTAGCAGGACCACCCATACTGCAGCTGGTTCAGGTAATTCAACTAGAAGCGCCATCTTGCAGAAGACATGAGAATTGCAGACCCTTCAAGGAAGGTCTTTCAGCGTCTACATCAAGCGGAGTATGTGTGGACTGCAGACAATGTTAAATGATAAGAGCTTCCAAGCCTCTTGTGAACATGCAAAAGATCCATGTCATCATCAGATGGATTTCTGCTATGTTAGATGTCACATCTTGTCTCACTACTAATAAAATATTTTGGCGACGTCTCAGGGAGGATCCTAATGGTACAGTATTGTGTGCAGTTTGCAAGAATTTTAGGAATTGTAGAGGAATTTTGTTCACAGACATGGAATGTCCACAGGAATGTCTCCCAGCTCTGTTTGTTGACATGCCCACATTCCTGGAAACCCTTGGGAAAACCTGTCTGCCCTGGATGCCCTACTTTCTGTGACCCCGGGGCTCGTTCACTATACACTCAGGAGAGGGAAGGGTACCAAGGCTTCCTCAAAATCATGAAGTCATGGCAGTGCCATGCAAACAATAACCCTAACAGCAACCACCGTCGCCATGGGAATGTGTCTTTTCATTGCCAGTGTTGTTTCTCTTGTGTAGTTGAAGTGCTTCTGATTCCTGTTGAGTCCTATCTTGTAGAATCTCAAGATCCTCTTGACGTTTAAGCTTTAGAAGAATTTGGTTAGAACACTTGAAAGACTGAGGGATTTTCCTTTTTTCTTGGTATTGCCTGGTAAAGTGGTGTGTACAAGATAGCAGTTTCACCCATCTGGATACTTCAGTAACTGCTTGCATTGGGATTAGTACAACTTTGCTCAAGTCTCAAGAGAAAAGTCTTAGTTCTACTATCGCTTATCATGATCATGACATGATCTTTCTTAGCTCTGGGTCTTGAAACCTTTTAGGAGGTTTCAATTCACAAACCGTACTAAGATTTACATGTAGAAGTGTTCTTTATGCAACAGACACAGGCCAGGGATCAAACACTCTGACGTTCTTCATGTAACGGCATATATCAAATTGTAATTATCATGCAGCACTTTGTCAGTTCTAGGTGATACTGAGAAAGTCATGATGATTGATTTTGATTGATAAAGCAGACTTAACAAATTGCGGTATTTGAACATGTGAGGAATAGTGTTTAGGGATAATATTTCTGTATACTCAGCATGCAAAATACCTGGTTGCCCAGTTGCCCCGGGGAAACCAAATTTTACTTGAGGCAACCTATTTTGGAACCTAGGTAGCCTAGTGTGCTACCTGAATTTTAAGAATGCCGCCCCCCCCCCCAATTCATGCCCACTTGGGTTGCACCACTGTATCTGGCAGATGCTTTTTAATTTCAGGTAGTAATGACTATTTCTATTACTCTTACTAACTTAAGACTGTTAGAAATATTGTCAAAGACTTATGTATGTAATATTACTTAATTTGAGGAAAGTAGTAACTTATAGGTGGGGCAACCTAAAAATTCTGATTTGCAACCTAATTTTTGCCGCAGGTTGCCCATTGGGTAACCTGGTTCAAAAAAGTATTTTGTACACTGATACTATAAAATCTACACATGCAGCTTATGGTAATCTGTAATGTCATCTGATTTGATTCCACTTCCAGTTGCTACATGTTTGGTCAAATTTCTTGTTTCATTATTTGATTTATTCAAAACTGCATCGTAGCAATACAGTGTCTCCTTGAACAACTGGAGGCAAAACAAGTAACTGTATTACAATTGCCTCATTCCCTTCTATGGGAAAGAAAAATTCAATAAACAAGTAATTGAATTGCACTTGTTGTTGTCTGGAGGGAAAATTTGGCCATTAGTTATGGTACCACTGCTGCGAATGTTACAGTGTCTATAATATTGTCTATAGCATAGCAACTGACTTGTGAAGGGTTTTTCTCTTTCCACTTATCATTGCAGGACAGTTTTAGGTTTTTAGGTCAGGTCTTACTAATGACGTATCATAAATAAGAGGAGAGAAAATAATGATGATAATAAGGTTATTGTAAATTCTTGCCCGAGGGCTAATTGCGCCTGATGAATATGAACATGTTTGTAATTGCTAAGGTGCATACTTAGGCAATCTTCCCTAGATTTTTTTTCCACGATATCTACTAAGATATCTTATTGAAGATTACTATTTCCAGCACTGTTTTTCCTTGGGGTAAAGGTTTTTTTATTGCTTGGTAATTCCTCCTGAATGGACAGTAGGGTTGAAGCATTGGTCGTCTCCGCATTATTGACAGCTTTTCAGCCAAAAGTCCTGCTCAGAGGCAACATTTTCAAACGGCCCTCTCTGATCAATACTCCGGTCATGCTGACAGTGCAGTGCCAGCTACGGGTGAAGACAGCCAGGAATACCGCTCTAGTCCGCTCAGAAATCCCCGAGAGTCGCAGCATTGGACTTGGGAGTGAAGTGACGGGCCACTTTCACAGCAGCAATGGTTTCAGCACCAAGGAGAGACATGTCGAACCTGTAGGGTGCTTCTGCATTCATACCGGTGCTGATGAGATGCAGCTTGCAAAGCTGCAGGGAATGAACTGCTCTGATTAGATTGGGTGGAAGCCCTTCTGAGACTCTCTCCGTACACGGACGCACATGTAATCATCCTATCCTCGGGGTAAGGCATGGATAACAAACGGAAGCTGTCAGCAGTCTTTTTCAACCGTCGACGTGGCCTGTTCTTTCTGGGCTGGATTTAAGTCGATTTAAACATCACATCTATGAGGAGATTGCAGAGAACTGCTTGGATCTACGTACCAAACTAGGAAGGCAATTCCGTGATGTAGTGAGAGGATTGGCGAGGATTAGTCGTGATTGCTTCGGCCCGTTTTCCATGGATGCTACCGATTCAACACCGTACGACACGGAAATCAGCGATGCATTGGAAACAGATTATGTCCATCCAGGAGACAGTTCTACATGAGAAGTATTTGGGTCAGGTTTCCATGTTTATTGCCTACAGTTGTTTCTTATTAAAACTAATTAGGTTTCCATTCTTCGTTGGTTGTAGGAGGTAGTGGCTAATGCAGAGGTTGCCAAAGCGGTTGTTAAAGTTTTTGCGTCTTTACATGCTGCAAATTGAAATGTATTGCCATGTATAGATTAGTCTGGTTGGGGTCCCTGTATGTTGAAGTAATTGTCTCAACTGTTGCCTTCTAGTACCTTCGCTTGTCGTATAATAAGTCAAATTAGGATACTGGGAGTCAGTCTTGGGAATAGGTTCGTTGCTGAAGGTGGTTTTTGGTGATTATGACGCGGATTCAATTTCTTTCCATATTTCAAAAAGTAATTTGCCATCGCGTGGTTATATTGCGTAATGCGTGTTTTTGATTGCAGTCAGGATCGGAATGATAGGCCTGTCATGGAAGAAATGATGTCTTAAGATTCTTAACCCTCCTGCTACCGACTTAAGGTGTGACTGATAAAACTTGGGTGTGTACAAGAATATAGATTGGCACAAAGTATGAAACAGGTTATTTCATATTTTCATCTTACAGCAGCTTTGTGATTTAGATTAAGATATAGAGATATGATATTACAGAACGTAGTGATACATCCCATATCACCTTGGCCTTGTAATTGAATTTGGTTTTTCCTAATCGTGTATGTTCCCTTGACATAATATGCTCATTATTATTGATGTTGTACAATTTCTGCTTATGCATTAATAATGGGAAGAGCAACAAGACCGCTGCTATATCTTACCCACATAACCACCAGACTACTCATCGTCAAAATTGAAAAATTGCATGTATAAGCAGAACGTAACTTCTTTAAGTTCTAAGTGGAACATCACATTATCTGTTGGTGGAAGAAAAGTGCTCCGCTGAGGTGAATTTAAGGAAGTC